GAAAGGAAAGGTAATATTAAGTGTTCATAGGTTGCCCAGTTGTTCAGTGTGTTCCCTATACTTACCTAATGCAGGGCAGTCATAGTGCCAATAGGCAAAGTGAGCAAAGGAGGGAATTATTGTCTCTGTTTTCTATGTGGAGAACTGCAACACAAAATGACTTGCCTGTGGTCACTCAGACGCAGCATGAGGCTGAGTCACAAAYGGATTCCTTTTCCCTATTTTTCTGACAAATGTCTTAAATAAACCATCCTTCCTCCAGGACTTCTGGATTAACAATAATACTTCAGTATCTAGTCCAATAAGCCTGCACYGTACACCCCATTCTCCCCATTCTTTCATAATTATTGCTTGTCTAAGCACAAATGCTAGGAAGGAAAGTTCCTCCCAGCAGCACTGCCCCTTTGTGCTGTTTACACTTTCACTTCTGACCCATGGCCCAACTCCTGGGCTCCATCCTCTCCTGATATGAACCAGGGCAATGGGAGAGCATCCTCCTCTTAAGCAGCCCCAGTACCCGTGCCCTAGCTGAGGCTGTCTCCCAGGGGACAGCAAGAGGAATCTCTTCAGRTTAATACAAGATTTCTTCTTCGTGAATAAGTTGTCAGCCTTTGACTTTTTGCGGTGTTCCTAACCAGAATATCTTCCACTCTCATTTCATATTCCCTGCCTGGGAGAGAAACTTGTTTTTCGGTGAGCTGTGCTGCTCTGCAAGTTCTGTCGAGGTGGAGTTTGCAGCTGCTTGGAAGGACATACCAAAGGAGACAGAAGGGACCACCACTGTCACTACCAAAACTGCCTTCCTGTCATGTAGTCTCCATAAAGCCTTTTTTTTTTTCCCTTGTGATGACACTAAGTTAAAACCATCCTTGCTTGCAGCCAGGAGTGCAGGAAACCTGCTTACCCATGGGGCAACTGCAGTCTGCTGACAGCATTATCAAGCACAAAATTGGGCATGACAAAACAGTTGTCTGTCTACAGCATTTACAGTATATCAGATGTGTTTTCAGGCTCTTCTCCACATCCCTGGACCTGGCAGCAATGGAGAGTGTTGGACACTGATTATCTGTGTTTAATAAGAATCACTTCTGACCAGCAGTATTTTTCTGTCTTGTAGCATAGCAGTCAGTGGTCAGTGGTCCTCAGTGCTCAGTGGTCCTCTATCCTCACTGCTCCTAACTTCTGAATAAATTTAGGATATGAAAAATATGCTGAAAAGCCACTCAACAGAAAGAGGAGATGAAAATATATGACCCAAACTTCAGTCARATGTTTCAAACATGGAGACTTGTGAACCTCTGCAGTTTCCTCCAGAACTGCCTTTTATCATTTTCTGATATTTTCTCTGAGTTCCTGAACATGCCTCTTATCTGTATTACTTTTCAATTTCCTACACCTGATGCTCAGTCTTGCTGTCTGCATGAAGATAAGAGCCATACCCTCGCAGAAGACCACTGCCAGTTCTTCCTTTTGCAGAGTGCACTTTCTTCTATATTTTTKGCAATGCTGTGTCTTTAAAAAAAGTTTTCTCCTCCTGACCTTGCCTGCTGAAAGCTTTATTGCTTTTCTAACTCAGCTTTAAATTAACAGAAGTTTTTCTTCATTTTCTTGTTTGTGTATCAGTTTCATTACTGCTGTCACACGGCTCTGGGGGCAGAGCTAACTGCTGCATCTCTGCAAAAGCCTTGCAAACGCAGGCGCACGTTCTGCCCTGGGATATATGCGTGTAATTCCTGTTGACAACGCCATGAAAATCAATTTCGTACGGTACTGAGAATTGCAACCCCTTATGGTAGGCTGCATGTGACTCTGTGGGATAAATGGCCATTTCTAATTTGGTAGAAAGCAGCACTGTGATATTAAAGACAGAGAAATGCAAGGAATGCAAAAAAAAAAAAAAAAAAAGTCTTCTTCATCCTTGTCCACATGGACCACAGCTTCAGAGGGCAGAGTTCATCCATTTTCCTCATCTCCTGCACTTCTGGACCTTCAACCCTCTTCTGCACACAGGCTAAGATACAATGCAGAGCTCAAATTCTCCCCTGAAACATACTGCCTCTAACTACATTTGGCTTAYCCTGATTTAAAACAGGTATGGATTTGGTCCCACGCTTCCTACTTTCYCAGAGGATACGCACTCATTCAAGTAAGACGTAAGGGACAGATGGCTTAGGCTGCCTTGGCGATGTCCAGCCTGATCAGGAAGGCCAATTGCTGAGAAACAAGTGGTTGTATCCTTGCATTGCTAAGGTCAGTGCCAGCAGTCTGAACAAAAAGCAAAGAATAAAAATTCAAGGTCGAGGACCATCTTATAGAGGCTGTCTTGGCTTCAGTGGCAATTACACCTCTGTAACTGAGGAAAGATTGGAGGTGTGTTTGTAAGGGGAAGAGGCTGCCACCTTTATTTTCTGACCTTTTCTCTTCAGGTTACTTCCTTTTCATTTGAAATGTTGCCTGCAGTTGGTGGCGTTCTCTGAATATTTTTCTGTACAGTAATTTGACTATATATAATGCTTTTTTTTTTTTTTTTCTGTGTTATCTGCTGCACAGGGCTACTGTGCAGTTACTGCTAAGAGAACCTGTAGGCAATGATATAGTCAGGTAAATACAGCTGCTATATACAAGGGAAATCCTGTCCATGCAAACCATTACTCTGTACTCTTTGTACAGAGCTCCAAGAAAATGACAACCCAAAGTAATAGCAGCGCCCTCAAGAAATAAGTTCATTATTCAAAAATTAAATTAGATGAAAATAAAGAAAGAGTTGAGGAACATTTTCCTTCCCAAGAGACAGAATAAAACTGAAAAAAAAAAAAAATAGACAAAAGATTAGATACCTTAGAAAACCCCA